TACACGTAGTACTTTTGTTAAGCACAGCGGGTTACAATGCAAACCACCATATGGCCACACCGCTGCAGTGAATATACCTGTATTGAAATGTCACTCTTGTCATTTCAATAAAGTTCTATTAAAAAACAATGTGGCTGTAGGCAGTCTTTCAGATAACAGGACCAGTCCCTGGACCTCTCTAAAGACTACATTGCAATCCAAGCAAACCGCTAAATCAGTCAATGACATACATACGTGAGCTGTTATAACTTTGTATCTTTGTTCATCCATCCTGAAAGTCTCTCAGCCCTGCCTGATTGAATGGCCAGGTTGGTGAACTCCTTTTCTTCACAATACAGATCGGTCTGTTCCCCTTTCTGGGGTTTTGATGGCAGAGAAGCAGCAACAGAATGATGAACTTGCCTCTCAGCTCATTGTACTGTTTCTTGTACACATAATTCTTTTGAACACATGAGCTATAGCACATCTGAGTGGCTCCTGGTGGCCCCCCAATCAATCTGAGTTTTACTATACAGAAATTTGCTGGAAGTTTTTTCAGTCACATTCATGCTTTTTGTGGTAGAGAAAAATGTGTGTGTGTGTGTATATATATATATATAGATAGATAGATAGAGAGAGAGAGAGAGATCCTCCCACACTCCAAAGACATGCTGTTAGATCAATTGGCTCTTGTCTAATTTGGTCCTAATATGTGTATGAATGAATGTGAGTTAGGGAACTTGGATTGTAAGCTCCTTGAGGGTTTAGCAACTGATGTGAATGTACAATATATATACATACATACACACACACATGCACAGGTGTACCTCGGTTTACGAATAAATTCTGCGGGACTTTTCGTTTTGCGAAAAATTTGTAAACTGAAATGCGATTTCCTATAGGAATGCATTGAAAACCAACTAATCTGTTCAGGAGGTCAGAAAAAAGTAAAAAAAAAAAAAAAAAAGTCTTTTATCGGTTCAAAACTCTTTATAAAGTGCACTTCAAAGGCATAAATACTGTACAGGGACATGAGTAAAAAAAAAAAAAATTGTAAATGCATTGAAAACCAATTAATCCATTCTTGAGGTCAGAAAAAAGTAAAAAAAAAAAAAAAAAGCCTCATCTGTTCAAAACTCTTTATAAAGTGGCATAGTATTGTACAGGGACAAAAAATTTGTAAATGCATTAAAAACCAATGAATCTGTTCGTATTGCAAAAAAAATTTGTAAGCCGAGGATTTTCATTCGTAAACCGAAAATTACATTAACTGAGGCGTTCGTAAAAAGAGATACGCCTGTAAATGTGTGTGTATGTATGTGTATGTATAATATATATATATATAATCATAGCTATGAACTTTGTCTGGTCCTGGACCTGCTGCAGCCTGTGACTGGACTGTGAAGGAGCAGCAGCACACCGATGAAGTTGTCTCTGTGCTCTCCTCTCCTATTACATGTAACCTGTAGAGCCTCTGATTTTGTCTTCCCTGTGCTGGGTAGTACAGGGGACTTGTATTATGACAGATTCAGGCAATTGTACTGCTGTGTTCTATGACTAAATGTTTTTGTATCTCTCCCTGGAGCTCGGCTTTCATGCCACTACTGGTGTTGAGCTTTCATATTCAGCATGTTTTCTCTTCTCTCATATAAATCCTCCAGAACATAGTTTGTTTTCATTATTGCTCTCTGCATAATGATGGAATCTGCTGTTTTGTCAAGCCGCAGACTGGTTTGGCTACATAGTCATTTTTGTTTACATCGGCTTTGTGCCACATACTGGAGGATAAAATTGCTCAAAACCTCAGTTTCCTGAATTCTAGCCCCAACTTTTAAGAATTTTGTTGTCACATTCCCATTTGGCAGATCAGATTCATTTTTTAATAAATATGGTAAGGTGGAGAACACTGCCTGTTCACCAGATGTCTTAGGGTCAGTAACCTTTCACATTTTCCTTTTGCTGCTGTCATAGCAAGATTTGTAAGGTCTGTGGCCAGCACTTTGTCTTCGTTTTATACATGGTTTGCCCTCTGAAAAGTGACCTTTTGTGGATCACTTTTGAGTGACAGGTGGTGAGGAGGCCTGTTTTAACCCCTAAAAGCCTGCACTGCTAGGCCACAACTGTGCGCATAGCATACTATTGTGGCATGGCTCCATTCACTTGAACATGTAGCATGGATAGAGGGGATAGTTTCTACCGGGCAGCACAGTGGATAAATGGTTAGCACTTATGCCTGGTAGTACTAGGGTCGTTGGTTCAAATCCCAACCATGGCACTGCCTCGAGTTTGCATGTTCTCCCTGTGCCTGCGTGGGTTTCCTCCGGGTACTCCGCTTTCCTCCCACACTCCAAAGACATGCTGGTAGGTGAATTGGCTCCTGTCTAAATTGGCCCTAGTATGTGTATGTATGAATGGGAGTTATGGACCTTAGCTTGTATAACCCCTTGAGGGTGTGTCTCCCCCCCCCCAAATTCTACTGCCTTTCAAAACTTTAGGGGTGGCAGTTGGGGGTGCAGTAAAATCATGGCTCATTTGGCTGTTCTTATTGCCCCCGAACCACAAGTGTAAACTAGACTCCAAATATTGTTTTTAAAGTGGTTGTAAACTTCTGACATGAAATATGTACAAAGCATATCCCTCTATAGTGTGTACTCAATCCAGAGAACGAAGTGTCATTTCTGTCTGCTGCCTTCTTCATTTACTATCAGCATGCGTCACTTCTGATGAGTTTTACTGACACCAAGGGAAAAAAGGTGGCGGGGAGGGATCTCTAGCACTCAGCTTATGATTGACAGGCTCAGCTCTGGTGCTGTGTGATGGGGGTTGTGTTTCCCTTCCCTCCAATCAGAGCTCTCCTCACTGATGTAACTTCAGCTTCCTGCCCCCTACTTTTCAGTGCTGCAAGATTCTGTGTAAATCCTGCTCTTTGAATGGATGTAGGAGAAAGATATCTGTAGATAAAAAGGTACAACTTATGTAGGAGGATTTGTTTCATCTCTGTATCACCTGAGACTAGTCACTTCACTGGGTGCATGTAAGGGTCACAACCACTTTAAAGTTTTCATTAAAATGTGCCGTCTTGAATTCTCATTACCTTGTTTAAAATGTAGGTGTATAAATGGTCACTTTAATGTGTCAAATTTATTTATCATATTTCTCTCTCTTGAACAGGGTCAGATACATCTTGAATGTTACACGTGAAATTGATAACTTTTTCCCCGGAGTGTTTGAATATCACAATATCAGAGTATATGACGAGGAAGGCACTGATTTACTGGCCTATTGGAACGATACATACAAATTCATCTCTAAGGCAAAGTTAGTACCTGTAATGATAACATCTGCTGTTTGGTATTGTAATGTGTGTGCTGATGTCTCGTCTAATACCACAAGAAACTGAGCCATGCAGTCTGTTAGGCCCATGCTACAGTGGCCACAAAATTGCAGCCTGTGAAAGCTCCAAGCAATTTGTGGCTCAGTTTTTGAGCCATGTCTGCAGCTAATGCTAGCCATTCACTGCTTGAATTTTGTTCCAGCATCACCCAGGTCAACAAAAGTTGATTTAGAAATTCGACAGCCATGTGAAAAATGATCGACCGAACATTGATTGCACCCTATAGGATTCAGTCGGTGTTCGGGAAGTCAGGCAGCCATAGGTGCTGTGGCTGAGCCAATACAATAGCGAGCAAATGAGATTTCCTTATGGCTGAACAAGAGAAAATCTAGTCATGTACGGTTCCATTAACCATTTGCCCTCCAGAGGATTTACCCTCCCCCCATTCCAAAGCAGGCCATTTTTTACGTTATGGCGCTGCGTTACTTTGACAATTGCGCGGTCATGCAACACTGTACATAAATGAAATTTGTGTCCTTTTTTTCCCCACAAATTGAGCTTTCTTTTGGAGGCATTTGATCCTCTGCTTTTTTTTTTTTAGTTTTTGCACTATAAACAAAAAAAAGACCGGCAATTTTGGGGAAAAAAAATATAATTTTTGACTTTTTGCTATAAAACTTATCAAGTAAAAAAAATTTTTAAAAAATCACATTTCTTCAGAAATTTAGGCCAAAATGTGTTCTGCTACATGTCTGCTAAAAAAAAAAAAATCCGAATACATGTAAATGAGTTTGGTTTATGTGAACGTTATAGCGTCTACGAATTGCAGTATATACAGTCAGGTCCATAAATATTGGGACATGGACACAATTCTAACATTTTTGGCTCTATACATCACCACAATGGATTTGAAATGAAACGAACAAGATGTGCTTTAACTGAAGACTGTCAGCTTTAATTTGAGGGTATTTACATCCAAATCAGGTGAACGGTGTAGGAATTACAACAGTTTGCATATGTGCCTCCCACTTTTTAAGGGACCAAAAGTAATGGGACAGAATAATAATCATAAATCAAACTTTCACTTTTTAATACTTGGTTGCAAATCCTTTGCAGTCAATTACAGCCTGAAGTCTGGAACGCACAGACATCACCAGACGCTGGGTTTCATCCCTGGTGATGCTCTGCCAGGCCTCTACTGCAACTGTCTTCAGTTCCTGCTTGTTCTTGGGGTATTTTCCCTTCAGTTTTGTCTTCAGCAAGTGAAATGCATGCTCAATCGGATTCAGGTCAGGTGATTGACTTAAGATAAGAAAAATGAATAATAGCGCCTATGGTCAAAATTATATAACTTACTAATAGTGTACCAGCTGCAAAAAATCACCATATATAAAAAGTGTACCAATAAATAAATAATTTGCGCTAGTAAATGTGTATAAATATATAAATATATATAAAGAAATCATCAAATCATAAGTCCAGAAAAAAATATATATATGCCAATACCACAAAAAAATATATAAAAAAACTTTTAAGTGCAAAAAACTTTTGTGCAAAAAAAGTGTCTAAATATGAAAAATTTCACCAAAAAACCTTGATAATATAATGGCAGATCATCCATAAATATATCTTCAGAAACGGAAACTCTGCAACACACCGATCCTCATCGATCGAAATAACAGGATGAAAAACTTTGTAGTTAATCGAAAATCCACTTCTCCAATAGATAAAGGACCACCTTCAAACGTATCCATGGGGGGAAATGCCAAGCACTCGAGAGAAAAACAGACTTCATGGTGCAATATTATAAAAACCAATTCCTTTATTAGGTACTCATTGCACTTACTCAAGAGGTGTCCCAGCCGACACCAGCATCAACAGCATAACAGCAATCACATAAACGAGCCTGGCTACTCAGCACATGCGCAGTAGCTGGCAGCCAAAAACGTAATGACGTCACATCAATCAAGCTCCGCCCTACGCGTTTCGTCATCTACGTCCTCACGGAGCGGATAGATGTGAGACGTCTCAACCTCCTTAAATATTCACTCACAGGAAACGAACAGCTGACATCAATGGGGAATCAAGCAAAGCAAGCCGCCCCACAGATGACAGGAGTCCACAAAGGATATACAATGTATCCAATATATTTGCCATCACAAAAAAAAAAAAACTTTAAAACAAGAGAACAAAAATAGAATAAAAAGAAATTTAAATAAAACACTAATGATAAATAAATTAAATAAATAAATACATTAACGGGCCAGCACCCTCTAAGACTGTGTTTCAAAAAGGGAACTTAAAGGGCCAGTAACACTTTAAACACAAATAAAGGGGAACTCTAGTAATAATACAAAAATAATGCAAAAATTGTACAAAAAGCATACAATCTCCCATATATCATCTTTAAACAGTTGCCTATATAAAAAATATACTTAAAATAACATAAAAATTAAAAATTTGTGAGAAAACAATTCAAATCTATATCGACATTTAACCCAAATGGTTGCAAGGAATTTAGTTCATAAATCCAAAACGTCTCTTTTTTGGAAATCTCATTAACCAAATCCGAGCCCCTCCAATGGGGTTTTACCATCTCGATCCCATAAAAGGTAAGTAAGCTCGGATCACAATTATGTACCAATTTAAAATGTTTGGATACACTATGTTTATCAAATCCTTTTACTATATTTTCTTATATGTTCGCCTATTCTTGTTTTTAAACATCTCCCAGTTCTCCCAATATATCTCAAATGACATGGACATTCTAAAACATAAATCACATGTGTAGAATTGCATGTAATCAGGGATTTAATATCATATTCTTTTTTGGAAAATGAGGAGCAGAATGACTTTCTTTTTTTTATTATTACCAACTTTTACAGTCCTACAAACTTTACACTTCCTACAAGGAAAAAAACCATTTAAATTTGGAAACAGATCGAACTTTTTTGGGGGTTCGATGACATTGCGAGCCAGTTTCATCCTAAGAGACTTATTTTTCTTATAAATGAATTTAGGAGTTTTAGATAAGAATTTATTTAGTATATCATCTTTTAACAAAATGGGCCAATATTTTTTAAAAATTCGTTCAATATTTTTGTATTGCATATTATAGTTAGTAATAAAGGGTACATTATTTTCAAATCCCAAATGAGCCTTTATTTCCAAGAAACGTCTCCCTATCTTTAATGCTAATCGAATTTCTCTCTTTAATCAAAAAGGTCTTATCATACCCTTTCTCTATAAATCTTTCAATTAATTAACACCTCAGATTGATCGAAAAAATCTTTGTTAGCGCTACAATTTCTTTTTAATCTGGTAAACTGACTTTTTGGAGTGCTATATAACCAATTTGGATGATGTCCACTAGAAATAGGTATATAGCTGTTTTTGTCCACTTCCTTCAAGTAAGTTTTGGTACAAATTTGGCCATTATCTTTATATAGGACCAGATCCAAAAAATTAATTTGCTCAAAATCACTCATAACAGTGAATCTCAATCCATAGCGGTTCATATTAATATATTCCATAAAGGAATCTAGCTTTTCTCTGGATCCATCCCATACCATTATAATGTCATCAATATACCTCTTGTATAGCGCCATCTCTGGCCATTTATTGAAAATACTTTCTTCCTCCCATTTATCCATTACCAGATTTGCCACACTGGGAGCATACTTAGCTCCCATGGCAACACCCTTACATTGCTGAAAAAAAGTGTTGTTGTACCAAAAGAAATTGTTATTCATCGCAATTCAAGTAATTCAACAACAAATTTCCTCTGCAATCTTTTCAGGAGTGATTTATGTTTAAGGGCCCATTTTACCGCATTAATTCCATCATTTTGATCGATGTTAGTATATAAAGATTCTACATCTATAGTAACCAACATACAATTATCAACATTATGTAATTCTTTAAGGATGTTAATAAGATGTCCACCATCTCTCAGAAAAGCCCTATTTGTCATAACAATGTTTTTCAGAAAAGTATCAACATATTCACCAACTCTTGCAAATAAAGAATTTATCCCACTCACAATGGGTCTCCCCGGTGGGTTCTCCTTATTTTTGTGTATTTTTGGTAAATAGTATATAGTAGGTATTTTCGGATGTTTAATCAATAAAAATATTTTGCTTCTTTTTCAGTTAATACCCCCAACTCTTTTCCTTTGTTGATAATACACTTAAGTAGTAATTTAAGTTTCTTAGTGGGATTTTTTTTTGCAAAATTTTATATGTATCTTCAGATTAATAATCTCTCCATTTCTTTTTCATAGTCATTCTTATTTAAAAAACAACAATACTTCCCCCTTTATCAGCACTTCTAATTACTATATTCTTTCTCTTTTCAAGATCCTCAATACCCAATTTTATATCTGGTGGAATACAGTATGAATTTTTAACATTAATACTCTTAATCTCATTTTCTACCATATTTTTAAATACCTCCAGAAAAGCATTACCAGAAATCTTAGGGTTAAAAGTAGAAGCATTTATTAAACCACTATTTTGAAAACCATGAGAAGATGTAGGATTGTTTCCTTGAGATTTATTCAATTCAAAAAAATTTTTTAATTAAGTTTTCTCACAAATTTTTGCAAATCAATAAAAACATCGAATTTATTTAAATTCGTCCTAGGTATATATTTCAAACCAAGGTCCAAAACTTTAATTTCTCTTTCAGAAAAAATAACATCACTCAAGTTATAGATTCCTGCCCCTATTATTCTCTTTTTCTCTTTTTGTCTCCTTCCTCCTCTTTTGCCTCTGTATTTCTTGTTCCCTCTTCTCTGCCATAATTCCCTTGTTCTCTCCAATCTTTCTCCTGTGGTCTGTAACCCCTTGGTGCCATATTCCACCCCCGATGATGGTATGAAAAACCCCCCCTCGATGGAAAAAAATTTTGGTTTTGATAACCTCCTCCTCCTCTGCTGGCCCGTTAATGTATTTATTTATTTAATTTATTTATCATTAGTGTTTTATTTAAATTTCTTTTTATTCTATTTTTGTTCTCTTGTTTTAAAGTTTTTTTTGCTTGTGATGGCAAATATATTGGATACATTGTATATCCTTTGTGGACTCCTGTCATCTGTGGGGCGGCTTGCTTTGCTTGATTCCCCATTGATGTCAGCTGTTCGTTTCCTGTGAGTGAATATTTAAGGAGGTTGAGACGTCTCACATCTATCCGCTCCGTGAGGACGTCGATGACGAAACGCGTAGGGCGGAGCTTGATTGATGTGACGTCATTACGTTTTTGGCTGCCAGCTACTGCGCATGTGCTGAGTAGCCAGGCTCGTTTATGTGATTGCTGTTATGCTGTTGATGCTGGTGTCGGATGGGACACCTCTTGAGTAAGTGCAATGAGTACCTAATAAAGGAATTGGTTTTTATAATATTGCACCATGAAGTCTTTCTGTTTCTCTCGAGTGCTTGGCATTTCCCCCCATGGATACGTTTGAAGGTGGTCCTTTATCTATTGGAGAAGTGGATTTTCGATTAACTACAAAGTTTTTCATCCTGTTATTTCGATCGATGAGGATCGGTGTGTTGCAGAGTTTCCGTTTCTGAAGATATATTTATGGATGATCTGCCATTATATTATCAAGGTTTTTTGGTGAAATTTTTCATATTTAGACACTTTTTTTGCACAAAAGTTTTTTGCACTTAAAAGTTTTTTTTTATATATTTTTTTGTGGTATTGGCATATATATATTTTTTTCTGGACTTATGATCAGGTGATTGACTTGGCCATTGCATAACATTCCACTTCTTTCCTTTAAAAAACTCTTTGGTTGCTTTTGCAGTATGCTTTGGGTCATTGTCCATCTGCACTGTGAAGCGGCGTCCAATGAGTTGTGAAGCAATTGGCTGAATATGAGCAGATAATATTGCCCGAAACACTTCAGAATTCATCCTGCTGCTTTTGTCAGCAGTCACATCATCAATAAATACAGGAGAACCAGTTCCATTGGCAGCCATACATGCCCACGCCATGACACTACCACCACCATGCTTCACTGATGAGGTGGTATGCTTAGGATCATGAGCAGTTCCTTTCCTTCACAAAAATACTCCTCTCTTCCCATCACTCTGGTACAAGTTGATCTCGGTCTCATCTGTCCATAGGATGTTGTTCCAGAACTGTGAAGGCTTTCTTAGATGTCGTTTGTCAAACTCTAATCTGGCCTTCCTGTTTTTGAGGCTCACCAATGGTTTCCATCTTGTGGTGAACCCTCTGTATTCACTCTGGTGAAGTCTTCTCTTGATTGGTGACTTTGACACACATACACCTACCTCCTGGAGAGTGTTCTTGATCTGGCCAACTGTAGTGAAGGGTGTTTTCTTCACCAGGGAAAGAATTCTTCGCTCATCCACCACAGTTGTTTTCCGTGGTCTTCCGGGTCTTTTGGTGTTGCTGAGCTCCCCGGTGCGTTCCTTCTTTTTAAGAATGTTCCAAACAGTTGTTTTGGCCACGCCTAATGTTTTTGCTATCTCTCTGATGGGTTTGTTTTGTTTTTTCAGCCTAATGATGGCTTGCTTCACTGATAGTGACAGCTCTTTGGATCTCATCTTGAGAGTTGACAGCAACAGATTCCAAATGCAAACAGCACACTTGAAATGAACTCTGGACCTTTTATCTGCTCATTGTAATTGGGATAATGAGGGAATAACACACACCTGGCCATGGAACAGCTGAGAAGCCAATTGTCCCATTACTTTTGGTCCCTTAAAAAGTGGGAGGCACATATGCAAACTGTTAATTCCTACACCGTTCATCTGATTTGGATGTAAATACCCTCAAATTAAAGCGGACAGTCTGCAGTTAAAGCACATCTTGTTTGTTTCATTTCAAATCCATTGTGGTGGTGTATAGAGCCAAAAATGTTAGAATTGTGTCGATGTCCCAATATTTATGGACCTGACTGTATACTGGAATTTTTTATTTTTTTGTTAAACTAGTAATGGTGGCGATCTGTGACTTCTAGCAGGACTGTGGTGGGCATTCTGACACTGGGTGGGAACTGACTAACTGCCACTGACATCCCAATGACACTAATACAGTGATCACTGCTAATAAAAAGCACTGACACTACTAATGACACTGGGCAGGAAGGGGTTAACACTTGGGGCGATCAAAGGGTTAACTGTGTTGTTTTACATTGTGCTGTGTGTGTGTTTTACTAGGGAGACATGCTGCTTTGTATTTCTCTGATGTGCAAAGAAATACAAAGCAGCATGTTTTTGTTGGCAGGTGAGAGACCTGTGTTGTTTATACACAGGTCTCTCCCCTGTCATCTTTTCCCGACGATCACCGGTTACCAGCGGGGAATCTCCAGCCGGGACCTGGTGATTGACATTCGTAGCCGCCGGTGGCGGTGTGAGTTGGGCAGCTCACGTTCCCTACCCATAAATTCAAATCATGTGTGTGTGTGGGGGTGTATATGTGTGTATGTGTGTGTGTGTGTGTGTGTGTGTGTGTGTATGTATGTATGTGTGGGGTGATTTTGTGCCGCCCTGTAGCAGTACTTCTACTATGGGGTGGCAGGCAAGTGGTTAAAGCTGAATGTCTGTACAGTACTGTAAGTACCGAACACTCTTCAACAGTGCTGCGACTATTGCTGGTCATACATAGTTGATTCACGTTCCTTTTCTTTATTCTGCCCTTTCCCTAGTTTTTGAACTCTCGAGAAATGTATTTATTTATTTATTTTGCATCTGACCTTTTGGATATTTTCTCAGAATGGGGTTCTATGTCCTGCTGTCATGAAATGGGAGGAACAGCACTCATCTCAGTGTTGACACAACAGTGACAGGTGTATTATCACAATTTCAAAACGCCACAACACGTGTCTTTGTGTGTGTTTTGCTTTCATGGAACACCAGCAGGCTGGCAGTATTTCTGCCCTGAGGAGCTGAGCAAGCTGCTGTATGTGGAGGTAGAACGCCCTCTAGTGTCTGCTAAGTATAAACGTGGCCTTGGTTTTTAAACCAGAAGACACAACTGTTTCAGATAACTGATGGCAACCAGATTCAAGCTTGTTCTGGATTGTGACTCTTCAAGAATTGGTTGCTAATAGTTGACTGACATATGTCTTCCCTCAGAGGTTTGTGTGTGGCCAAATCGGTAATCTGTGTTTTGTTTTGGACTCTTTGCATTCACATTGTATAACATATTTTATTAATAATTGAGTTTTCTGCTTCCCCTGTAGGAAACATGGAGCTAAATGTCTAGTGCACTGTAAAAATGGGAGTGAGCCGCTCCGCTTCCACTGTGATTGCTTATGCTATGAAGGAATACGGCTGGAATTTGGACAGAGCCTTTGATTATGTGAAGGAGAGACGCACAGTAACCAAACCTAACCCTAGTTTCATGAAGCAGCTTGAGGAATATCAAGGCATTCTGTTAGCAAGGTGGGTCCTTTTCTAGGACATGTTCATACAAGTGTACAACCTATATTTCTGCAAACCAATGCTGTAATTTCCCCAAGCTTAAAGAGGTTCTAAAGTCAAACTGTTTTTTTTTTTTGTTTGTTTTGTTTTTGACCTTATTTCCTTCTCTGTATTAACGTAAAAATGCCCCACTAACTACCCCCAATCCCTAAACACCTGACTCCTGTCAATGATCCAGCATACACCGCTTGTTAAGAAGGCACCCCGGAGAAATGGACAGCGCTGGCTGGAGACTTCAAAAGAGGAGGTTAGGGACTGCTTTGTGCATTATTATTGCACAGAGCAGGTAAAGCAGAGCTCCTCCAAAAAGGGGGAGTTCCACTTTATGGAGTGGTCCCATGCTCCTTGTTCAGGGCTGGCTCCTTTGGGGAGCAGGTACCCAAAATTGACAGGTACCCACTTCCGCTGCAATCGCCTAGGTGATCAGAATCGGAAGTTGTCCACCTCCCCGTCATCTTCTGGGACACGTAATGGGTCCCAGAAGACTATGGGACCATTCACAAAGCACAGCGCTACTCACGCATGTGCCCACACTTAGGATGCCGTTGCAGGAAACGCAGGGAGGCTGGTGAAATGGGGGGGGGGGGGGGTGCTACTGTGAAATCAAAGGACATGTAAGTGTCCGTGTTTTAAAAGTCAGCAGCTGCAGTTTTTGTAGCTGCTGACTTTTATTTATTTTTTTTTTTATTTTCACTGCAACTCCGCTTTAAGCTTAACCTCCCTTTTTTTAATTGAAAAAATGTATCCTTTAATATCACTTTAATAATTAACATCTGTATTCATTTAAGGGGTTCTAAATCCAGTAAAATTGATAGGTCTATGGTCATTACTTTGGTTCTCAGAGTGACTAACAACTGTGCAAAAGGAGACCGATACGGTCTTGAAGGCAACAAGTTTTAAAGCACTGTTTCTCTAAAATATAGTTACTTAACATAAAAAGAGGTATTCAACTTCATGATTGTGTAAAAGTATGCACAGTGCAGAAAATGGCTAGCAATCATTTGGGGTTAAAGGGCACTTGCCCGTTGGCCTTCATAGGTAATTTCTCCAGGGAAAAAAAAACAGACAAAAAAGTAAGGAAAGGCGGATAAGATGAGAGAAACCATTGTGTAGTATTTGTGTTCAGATTAAATGAAAGGATTGGCTGAAAAGGGAGATGTAGTGCTCTTTTCATCTTTAGAGATTGAAGAAGACTGAAAAGTGTCTCCACCCTAAGTGAAAGCTTGTGGAGAATATGGGATTGGTATACTAAAGACAACACCATTCACTTTGTAAGTGAAGGTGAACTCTGCAAAGGAATTTCCCCAGAGCTTACTAAAATTATGGTGAAGCTTCATTTTGCAAAGAATACCCAATCACGTGCAAAGAAAATTTAATTAGAAAAAAACAGGATTTTTGCTTGCACATGATTGAATAATGGATGTAAGCAGATCTTAAAGTGATTCTAAAGGTTGTAATTAAAAAAACAAAAAACAAACATGTTGTACTTACAGTACCTGCTCTGTGTAATGGTTTTACACAGAGCAGCTCCAATCCCCTTCTTGGGTCTCCAGCCAGCGGACTTGGCTTCCCCGCAAACCCCCCCCCCCCCCCCCCCTGAGTGCACCCAATAGCCAGCCTCTTACTATGGGGTCACTTGAGCAGGTTTGCTCCCAAGCTGCACTCCTGTGAATGGACATTGTCCACACACACTCACACTCTGCAGCTAGGCCCTGCCCCCACTCTATCCTTATTGGCTCACTGGCTGTGATTGACAGCATCAGGAGCCAATGGCTCCCTCAGCTGTGTAAGTCAATGAAGAGGGAGAGAGACCTGGGAGAGCCGCGGCTTTCATGCACATTGCTGGATCGAGATGGGGCTCAGGTAAGTATTAGTGGGGCTGAGGGGGGAACTGCATGAGAATGGTTTCTTACATTAATGCATAGAATGCAATAAGGTAAAAAACCTTCTGTCATTAAAACCACTTTATTCTCACTCGCTAACCTCTGGGGAAAATTCCTTTACAGAGTGCAACTGCATTTTCAAAGTGAATAGTCTATTTGCCTTTAGTAAGTCAACCCCAATGCCTCCACACAGACCTTTATCTGTATTATTTGCTTTCCTCCATGCAAAGGAAAGGACCATGACCTTTAAGGGTGTTTTAGTGCTGATGTAATATTGGAAATGGCAGAAAGTGTGATGCAATAATGCCCATAAAAAACATTACACATGGAAGAACAGTCCTGCCAGTGAATTGAATGCATATATGTTTTGGTTTGCTCAGAGTAGTGCTAAAGCTTTTCTGAAGAATTAGCCAGCTGTCCCAGTGAAGTTCATTGTAACAAATGATGTAATAGTATAGCCAGCCAATTAAACATCCATTATTCGTTTCCAAAAATAATAAAATTGTTATTCAAAAAGTACTGAGAAGATACTAAATATTTATCTACATCCTGAATGAAATCTGCTATCTGTATCACATAATATAGCTGTGCTTGTTTACTTGTGTTCTTCAGCCGCTCTGTACTCAAATGATGCCTCATCACGTGATCTTGTTCTAAGTCGAGGTGGTTTAAGAAGCATGAGGGTTCGATCTTGTTACGTGATTAAGGCTAACATGAGTATCCAAAGAACATGTCTTATCAGTCCTTGCCTCCTTCCCCCTTCATTGGGTTCACCAGCATTGTGCAACCCATAATCCAGTGGCCACCTGCTTCTCTTTATTTCTGTGGCTGAGTCCCAGGGTAGTCCTGCAGCTGCTTGGTTGTGATTTATGTGTTTACCCATGACCCACGTGTCTTTTCTGCAATTTCTATGTAACCAGAAATCTTTTTTTTGCATTTTTTGAGTAGATTTGTAAATTTAGTGATATTAAAGTCAATAAGAAAAAAAAAAACACAAACATGTCATACTTACCTGCTCTGTGTAATGGTTTTGCACAGAGCAGCCTGAACCTCCTTTTAGGTCCTCCGCCAGCGCTCCTGGCCCCTGGAATGTTTTTGCAGCTCCTTTTCTCCTACCAGGAGAAAGGGGTTTAGAAGAGCCCCAGTGTGCATGAAGCCTATTGCACGGGCCCAAGCCCTCCCTCTCATCTATGAAGAGGGTGTTAACCTAGGCGAGACACGGTGGTGCATGCACATAGAAGATAGGCAAAACATTTCTCTTGACAATTGTAGATATCTGCACATCTGTTGGTTGCCTGATTGTTTAAACAGACCAAACCTCCACTGAAAAACTTTGATTGCTCAGGGACAACATGGGAAAAAAAGTGATCGTTTTACTTGCAGCCAGGGTCGGACTGACCATTTGGAAACTTGGGCACTGCCCGAGGGCCCGGGATCAGTAGGGGGCCCCATGAGATGCCCCTGGTACCTTTTTCATAGGTGTTTGGGCAAGGACACAGGGGACCCATGATCCCCTATTGCCCGGGGGCCCCATGAGTTGTCAGTCCGCCCTGCTTGTAGCAGCTGTTAAAACTTTCAGCCATCAAAATCCAGTGCATGTTGGAAAGTAAAAAATACATCTTCCGTAAACTGCATGGTCTTTGTTAAATCAGTTTGCATATAGCCTTAATGCTGTCATATTATAAATTCCCAATAGGCTTGTAGTTTTGTCAGTGGAAAAAGTGTGCCAGCTTTGTGATCTTGTGTGGATAAGGTTCACTGTGTACCCACGCCTTCTTAGAAAAGGTCATCTTTAATGTGACAAAAAAAAAAAAACAGGTGTGTCGGAGCAGTGGGGATATATTCATATGATGGTGTCCACATTTCATATTGCCTTGTCATGTGCACTAGGCAGCTGTGTGTACCAAATCCTGTTCCAGACACTCCCAGTGTGTTTTCGTCATTTAAATATAGTAATATTTGTAGCACAACACCTTTATGTAGTATCATTTTCATCAGATGCCAATGTCAGCCTGATTTAGTTTACAATTAAAAAGTACAATGTAAAAAAAAAAAAAGAATCAGCATTCATCTAAAATGCACATCATCTCGAAAGTATCAGTCACCACAAAATTATGATTTAACTTAGAACCCTTTACTGGGATGGTCATGAAATCTCCTTACATTGTGTGTCCAGATATTGTCTGTATTTAGGACTGAGCACTAGAAGAATACCAGTCATCAGTTCCCAAAGTTATCCACAGAACTTACAGCTTCTGTAAAAAAAAAAAAAAAAAAAATGTTTTCTACTTGATGTAAGCAGAAAAATGATTATAGATGTTGTGGCTCTTATAATTATAAGATTTATTTCTACCTTGCAGCAAACAGAGGCACAACAAGCTATGGCGCTCTCACTCAGATAGTGACCTCTCAGATCATCATGAACCTATTGGCAAGACAGGAATGGACATGAGTAAAAAGGACATTACGTCGTCAGCAGAGCAGCTCTCAGACATACATCATTCCTTTACACTGGGACCTCAGACGGAGAACTGTAACCCAAATTTCCCCAACAGCAACTCCTTGTCCAACGCAACACAATCACATTTTGAGTTTACATCTTGTGACCTTCACACTGGACAAATAGAGGACATTTTGAACCTTAACACCATGAATGGTTGTCCGGCACGATGCTGCTCGGATGAGTCTCCTGTATTCCTGGACAATTGTAGACCAGATAGATTGTCTGGAGAGATATCTCCACATTCTGAATCTTTCACTGATAGAAGTACTGAGCTGCAGGATTTTATGCTGGAAGATATGGAAAAAGATGCACTGAAGAATGATTTGAACTGCCACCTCCTGCCTCTGAGGGAGCTTGGATCACAACCAGATGAACCCCCAGAATCCCCTGACCAACCTTCTTTTACATCTCAGTCAGAAGACATGAGTGCTGCTGATAGGATTGACTTCTTAAGTGCACTGGAAAAGTTTGTTGAATTATCTCAGGAGAATCGGCCACGCACATGTTCCACCACCCGGGCAGAGGAGCAACTCGGCAATGTTAGGAATGGGGTCATAAAAGGATCTTGGCCTGAAAATGTAATCTCTGAAAGCCCAGTGGATAAGCTACGAGTGAGCCCTGATATCAGCACACCACATGTTTCTGAAGATTCATCTACAGATGAGGAGCAGCCAAAGGTATGCACAATTATAGGTGTTTCTTGATTCTTCTTAGATGTCATTAGTTTCCCCCACCTTGATTTACCACTCATTCCTCCGTGTATTCATACGTGGTGGGCAGCAACACACAGCCCCTGCAGACTAGTTACGGTTCCACTTTACTGATCAAAAGTTTATTTTTGTTTTTTTGTGTAAAAAATTTGTCTGTGATTCAGAGACACCAAGGATTTATTGGAGTGCCATTTTAATTAAAAACAAATTTAGGGTGCCTTATGGTTCTGCTGACCTTTGTTGAAGAAAGGTTGACTTTAGTTGTACTGTCAGTTTGCTTTAGCAAAGTTGTCATCACTTTTAGATGAAACAAGAAATGCAAACATATCACAGACCTAAAATGTGTGAGTATCTACAGTAGGCTAGTATAAAAAAAAAAAGAGATTGGAGTACCCTCGGGTGCTTGGTCACTCCCAAGATATTATACACTAGTGCCAATTCTTGGTTTAGCCAGTCAAAAAGAAAAGAAGTACAAATGGACTTTAAGGACACAAAAACTACGTACACATATTGATGAGATCACTAATACTTTATTTTGACATTGTCACAAAAAACATCGTTTGGTTAAAAGATCATTGTACAATGTCCCAAATGCCACCATATTGTAAAGAGCAAAACCAGTGATAAAGCGTACTGTAACCACCAGGAAGATCCTATGGGGGCGGGTGAGGGACATTCAGCCGCTGGAGAATTGGCCCAACGTGTTTCGCGACGACAATCGCTTCTTCAGGGGCTAGTAGTATTTTCTAAAAGAAATGCGTATATACACAGAAACACATGTAAATATGGAAAAGGTCATACGGTGATATACTAAGACTTACACAAAATGTTATTATGCACCAGGCAGCGGTAAACCCTCCAGTCGCAGAAGGCAGGCCTCTTCTACATTTCCACGGGGCAAAGAGCCGTCCAAGGGGCCAGGTATGGGGGCGCAATAGTGACCAACAAATCGGAGCCATGAGAAACCTCAGACAGCTAACAAGGAAAGAGAAATAGAAATAAAAAAAGGGAAGAAAATGTTGAGGGGCCCATGCAAAGATATGTAAACTACAAATGCCCTCCTCCTTTGAACCACACCAGTGGTAAAAATACTAGTTAGCTGTATGTTAACTTAACAAGATGTTATGGGAAAACCAGCATTCCTTGCAAAAGAGAAACCTTATCCCAGGGCTTTGGCAGGATAAAGGGGAGGGCTGGCTTTCAAAAGGGAGGAAGGAAAAGGTGCCACACTAGGATAAGCTTGCAGAGTAATGGAACTACCTAAAAGTTTTTTAAAAAGTACGCTTTATCACTGGTTTTGCTCCTTACAATATGGTGGGCTTTGGGACATTGTCTACAGGGACATTGTACAATGATCTTGTAACTGAACAATGTTTTTTGTGACACACTGTTAAAATAAAGTATTAGTGATCAATAAGTGTACTTAGTTTCTGTGACCTTAAAGTCCATTTGTACTTCCTCTTATCTACAGTATTCTAGACTTCTGTTTGCAAGAAATAAGTGTGGCAACAAAGGTGTGCTAATCTTTGTTTTGTTTCTGTATATGTTTTCTCTCAGGAGATCTCCGAGCAAAAAGACCATCTCTCCAAATCTCACTCGGAAAATGGAATATCTGTGAAAGAGATTGTCACAGAGATCGAGTCCTTCAACCAGGGAGCAGGCCAGTGCCAACAAAAATCAGACAATCTGTCTAGCCAAGTACAAGCACCAAAGAGAAACACAATCCATGATTTGTCACTTGAACCTGTTTGGGAGCCAGAAAATAACAGCAAGCATCCGGTGTGTGAGAGTGGAATAACATTGATACATGATAAATCTAAAGATCAGAAGTGTCAAGAGGGCAAACAAAGTTCTGAGGAGGATTGTGAAAACTCAAATGAGACAAGTGACCAACAGGATCTTTCTGACCAGGCTCCTAAGTGGTGTGCAGGCTCTGTCCGAAGAGCCACAATGGAATTTGAGGAACGTCTAAGGCAAGAGCATGAACAGCAGCACACCATTGCCGTGCCAGTACGAAAGAATTCTAAGAATGATGCAGCGGTTTCTGATGCTTCCCCAAAGTGTAGGTTTGAAGACTCTTCACTTGATATTGCAGATCATGAAAGGGATAAAAGGGTCAAAATAAAAATTACAGGGTTTGAGGCTGCGGAATCTCCCAGATCTGAGCCATCTACAGATTTACAATCATCTCTGCAATTTGAGCCTCCTTCTGAACAAGTAAAGCAGGACACCAACCATTCAGGGCTTGCAGTTAAACATAATGTAACAGGGAAAGAGCACCAGCCTGCTACTACAACTGATATCCTGGAGAGAACCAATGAGTTAGTACATCTTCCAAAAAGGATAGAGTTAGATCATAGCAGCAAGTCCTATGATAGTAATGACAACAACATTTCTCCCCAGGATTCTGTAATATATGCTGAGGATGTAGCTGTGGACTCAAAAACGTGTCATCAACTGCCCTTAGAACCACCCTTAAGAAATGTCTGTGCAAGCACATCAGACAGTTCTTTTGCACATATAGAAAACCTGCCTTTGCCCAGTTCACCGAAATCGGGGCCTGAAAACATTTCCTTTCCTGTAGATAGCCCAAAGGAAGAGTTTAGTGTAATAGACTTGAAAGATCCTTCTGTGACTAGTCCTGGAGTACATTCAGATTTCCCCAGTTCTAGTTACTTGTGTCACCCATGCTCCATTGTTTTAGAAGGTGTCACTGAAGAGTGCACCAGTACAGATGAGGATTTTAGGAACCTTTCAAACTGCACAGACAAATACAGCAGTGACCTCTTCATGGGTGTGAGTGAGTTGATGCAAAGGGAAGCAGACAGTGCCTTGTCACAGTTGAGCCATGAAGATCTTAACCTAATCAATAAACTTACTGAGAATATACGGGAACTACATGAAGTATTGGACATCTCTGCTTTATCTTTTGGCCTTCCCCATAGCTCTAGTAGCGACAGCATCAAAGACTTTGGTAGCAATCCTGGTGTTGTCAAGCAAAGAGCAAAAGAAATTGAGGCACGGATTCGGCAAGCTGGTCTCACCACTCCGTCCCAAATGAAACGCTCTGCATCTCTGGCCAAACTGGGCTGCTTAGAACTTTCTAAAGATGATTTGTCTGAGAGGGAATCTGTCTCATCTGACAATAACCAAACTTACCCTGATCTGCTTCAGAGCTCCCTCCGGATTGTGCCAGGAAATTATGAATCTGATTTGGATTCAAAATCTGAAGACCCACCAGGAAAGCTTTGTATCCTTTCTGTACAAGCTTCCACAGGAGTGGAACCCACCCAACATTTTGTTGAACAGATAAAGACTGCAGAGTGTATTGTAAAAAGCAAACCAGTGGAAAAGCCTCTTGTGCAGTATGCCAAAGAGTTTGGTACAACTCAACAGGGTTTACTTCTAAGTTCAGAATCTGAATTGACAGTTTCCCAGGAGCACCTTCACCAATTGGTGGAGCTAGAACCCACAGTCCCACTGGTAACTATAACACCCAGGCATGAGCATGGTAGAACTCATCCTTTGAGAAGGCTAAAAAAGACCAACGAGAAGAAGAGGACAACCAATCCACTATATAACACCATGTAATCCTGGAACTTTTTAGTGTTTGTTTTGATATTCTAAAGGGGCAGGTGTAATATGTGAGGAACGTGCACTTTATTGGTTAATTTTATATATTTTGACATATTGTTTTATGTTTTACTGTTCCTGATGCATGTATGGTATGGGCTTCCCTTACTCCTCCTTCCCTTTGTAAGTAATTCCTGACTGCACATGTTAGTCAGTGTACATATATAAATATATATAATTTTTTTTTTTTTTAATTAACTCTTGAGAACCTCAGATGTTTGTTTTAAGAGCTTAATAGCAGGTAACTGTTCCAAGTTAGTCTTCAGGCTGTACTGCCTGATTGACCGTGTCTACCAATGCTGTAGGAACAAGGCGCACTTTCAGATGCAACGTTGTTTCGGCTTTCTTCAGCACTTCAGATCAGTGTTCTGTCTGAGGATTGGTGGCTTCTTTATGTCCTCAGCAAATGTGAAAGATATTTGATGAGCTGAGGTTGATTATTGGTCTGCTGGTTTTGCAGTGTTCTGAAGTTGCCGTCTTCAGTTGCTTTTTATGCTTTTCCCAAATCTTAAGTTATTGTAGAATTAACTTTTTTTTTTTTTCTTTCCCTGCATTCTATACCAAATGCCTTTTTGGGGTCAACAGTTTTGCCATGCATCAGAAGATGCCATGGCAGGTCTAGAGTTCATAGTGCCACTTAGCTGTTGACTTTCCACTCTTAATATAAACCTTACTGAACAAGACGAAGCCTATTTTTATGGCAGGTCCAGATAATGACATTTCAGGTGTTTTGCTGCAGTGCGGACAGCTCTGTGTAACTGAACAGCCACGGTATCTATACTTCTTCAACCCCTGGCAGTATATCTCTCTCTGCAGAATTTGTATTCTGTTTGTGAGGATGAGGCTGCCACAGCCTGACTGAACACAGTCTACTCTTTTAATAGCAAGTCTTCATAAAAAATATAGTTTTTTTAGAGTGGTTCATCCTATTTCAATGGTTAGCCCACCCAAAAAACTGGTGGGTTGAATAGTCACCAAACCCCTAAGGGTGTTTAGTGATTATTTTCGTGCTTTAGTTCTTAAGTGACAACCCCTCATGGTTATTGGAATTGGGACATAAGTTAAATCTTTCTGAGAGAGCTAGATCCTTTGTCGTGGCTCCGTGAGGGAGGCAGAGTTTGGAAATTTTGGTACAGAGAGCTCACCCCTGGGTTCCTCACTGAAGTCTGTCCAGAGTTTGCAGCATCTATCTTGGCGGCATGACCTTTTAGGCACTGAAGGCTTTGACTTGTTAGGATACCATGTAACCAGGCAAACATCTGATTTGTATTGGAATGTGCTCTTATTTGTTGGTCTACAATACGGGAATTAACCCTTCGTTACTTGAAATAGTGCTGTGGACCTTCAGAGTTTATGGCCATATTTGTTTTGCCTTTTTACCTTTTGTTTTTAATTTGATAAACCCTTCTATTGACCCACTTTCCCTCAACTTACACCTTCACTCACCATAAATCTAGTGATTCTTAGTGCTGCCTATCTGTCTGTATGATAATGACCTGTAAATGTTACGTAGTGAGTGTGTTTGATATTCAGTGCAAAGCTATAAAATATTTGGCCTTCCTAGAACTGTTATGTCAATGTTTGCTTGTATTGAAATATATACAGTATATATGTTTGAGTGTGTGTATCAGTATACGAGTTTTATACATTAGCACACTTATACATATATATAATGTTTATTATGTTATATATTGAACTTTTACTGACTGGGGTTTTATTTGGCAATATTTTGCTGCAACTGGAATACTCAACTTAGTGATGTTTTAATGATCATTTCCTTTTTTAGCAGTTGTTTTAATTTGCTGCTCTGCATTGCAGAACATGGTTCCTTTAAAGGCAACTAAACTTAAAACGGAAACATGCAAATACACACACCCCTTCGAAAACAGAATACAAGGATTCCAAAAGACATAAAGAAAGTGTCTTTATTCTGTGAATGCTTCGTTTTAAATCCGAAAAGGTTAGGTCTAGAATAGGTTATGTGTTGGTCCTGATGACAGTTGCTGAGTTCATGAACACGAAAGAAAAATTCTACTTTTGGGGCTATTGTTCTGTTACCTCAGTCTTGTGTTTTTCCAAAACCACTTAACTATAAAATTCTTGTCATTAAGCAAAAATATTTTCCTGCCATTAGTGCTTCTGAACATTAAAGACGATCTGTACTTGACTGTTCACATTGTTTGACTTTCCTGCTGACAAAATGTGTAATTGAAGAGTGGAATGTTTTACCACCTTTACAGAAAATGGTTCGCTAGGTTCTCTCCACTGCTGGTTTAAGTGCAAGCCTAGGTCTTTGGCCATCTTATCTTTGTTGAAGAGGTAAGTCAGGTAATACTGACCTGCTTCTTCAGCAGAAATCGCATGACCAAATGCTCAAGGTTTTGATTATGTGAGCAGCACTGTAAGAAGAGCCTAGAACACAATGCTTTCTGCCATATAAGTTGTAGTATGTGTTCAACCGGTGCTTTTCCCATTCAGAGTACTCTCATCACAAGTCCATAGCCTTGTGTGAACTGCAACTCTTAGCTTACACATGGCTTCTGCTTCTCTCCTGGCAGCTGAACTCTGTGAAGGAGACCTTGTCACTTTAACCGCTCTGATAAACATCCTTCTAATGCTCCCGTGCTGCTCTTTTCTCAACTCAGCCTGTCCAAAATACTCACGTGACCATACTCAAGCCTAGCAACCAACCTCTAAACTCAAGCACTGTCACATAACGAAGTGAGTGAGCCCCATGAACCTGCTGTAGTTAGTATCAATGGAGTTGAGGGTTGGGTCCTTTTCCTAGATACTGTCTCATTGACTGAAATAGGAAAAGTGACCGTGTCTCTTCAAAGTGAACCTGTTGCTTATTTAAATGTCTTGTGTGCATATGATAGGTTACATATAAAAGAGCTAGAAGAGAAATTTTCCTGTAGTTTGCATCAACAAGCAAATAAATCTGTGAATACTTGAAATTAAGAATATTGGCAAAGTCTGTAGGATCTGTTTTTAATATTTACCATAGAAAATGAGCTCAAAGTTTTTTGAGGTACCATTTAACTGCTTTTCTTTGAATCCCTGTAAGCTGTTTTCAGGTTTTATATACTGGATAAGTAAGAACACCAGTTTCTAAATGTGCATATGTTGTATGCGTCTTCATTTTAGAGCCACTTGCATTTCAGGTTTAGTTCCTGTAGAACATCTTCTGGAACCCATCAGCAGGTCTCTGAGACATACTCCTATTCCGTCCCTGCTCCTCCATGAAGTCAAGTCTCACTGCGAACTGAAGGCTAAGGCATAGTGTGCAGCACTTACACCAGACTCTTCAGCTATCATTCAGTTATACTTCAGTAGCATGCAACGTAGTCTGGGAGTTGTAGTTCAGCAAAAGTCAAGAGATCCATAGCTAGTGTCTCCCCTTTACATAATTAATTTGTTGCTGCAAAATGTGCCTGCCAAGTTGTGTGAAGTTCCATCAGGATTGTCAAATCAGTTGTACTTATTTACATGTTCTTATTAATGTGTTTATGTTGAAGCTGTGGTTAACCTTTCCAAATGGGTAGATAGAATATAAGCAGCAGACTTGAATAAATGAAAATGAATGGAGACAGTCTTGACACACAGGCTTACATATGATCTCATTGGCTGTCTCATCTGTGACCAGATCTCCAGTTGAGCAACTTGTAAGTATAACCCGTCATGGCCTCTGCAGAGACTGGGAGCGCCCATACAGAGACTCTTAACAGCAGCTCACTCTTCAACAAGTTTTATTTTGTAAAATGTAAAACAATGTTTTTTTTTTAAGGGCATTTTTGTACAAAACGCTGTTCTTTGGTCTTTTACAAAAAATACTGTGGTTGAGGAAATTTATTGTTTACATTGTGAATATTAAACCTGAATAAACAAAAATACTAATTGTCTGGTTTTTCTGTTTTGTTAACCACTTGCCCTGCAGAGGATTTACCCCCATCCTGACCAGGCCATTCTTTGCGATGCTGCGTTACTTTAACTGACAATTGCGCGGTCATGCAACGCTGCACCCAAATGAAATTTAAGTCCTTTTTTTTCCCCACAAATAGAGCTTTCTTTCGGTGGTATTTGATCGCCTATGCATTTTTTTAATTTTTTTGCGCTATAAACAAAAAAAGACCAACAATTTTGAGAAAAAAAACAATATTTGTGACATTTTGCTGTTAAACATGTCCAGTAAAAAAATTTTAGGACAATTTAGACAAGAGCCAATTAACCTACCAGCTTGTCTTTGGAGTGTGGGAGGAAACCGGAGTATCCGGAGGAAACCCACGCGAACACAGTGAGAACATGCAAAGTCCATGCAGGAGGCGCCATGGTTGGGAATCAAACCCATGGCCCAATTACTGCAAGTCAGAAGTGCTAACCACTAAGCCACTGTTCCGCCCATATTTATTTCAGGTACTTCTATAGCGCTGTCAATTTACGCAGCGCTTTACACATATATATTATACATTCACATCAGTCCCTAACCCTCAAGGGGTGTATAATCTAAGCTCCCTAACTCACATTCATACATACACATACTAGGGCCAATTTAGACAGGAGCAAATTAACCTACCAGCATGTCTTTGGTGTGGGAGGAAACCGGAGTACCCGGAGGAAACCCACGCAGGCACGGGGAGAACATGCAAACTCCAGGCAGGTGGTGCTGTGGCTGGGATTCGAAACAACAACCCTGGTACTGCCAGGTGGAAGTGCTGACCGTTTAACCACTGTGCTGCCCATGTATGTGTGTGTATATATACAGTTGTGTTGAAAATAATAGCAGTCAGACATCACTAACCTGATCAATCACTGTTTTTGGTAGAAATTATATTTCTACATGGCAAATAATTTACTAGCAGGTGTAGTAGAGTAATAGAAATCCAACAGTCATGACATGCATGCTGCTGATTCTGTGTAATTGAATCACTAATTGAAAGGGGCATGTTCAAAATAATAGC